CGGCAGCATTTTGTAAAGACTCCCCCCCCCGTAAATAAGAATCATGTCCACAAGTTCAGCATTTTCGTAAACATGTGCCATTTTTCATTTCGTTTGAGTCACACAACAAACACCACTATTCACTCACGCGTTACCGACAGACGAAAAACATGACGTGATAAACGTTTCTTTCGCTTTTTTGTTTCCGATGCGATGAACCGATAAGGCGGATTATATCCGTTGTTGCCAAACACGAGCACATAATATTATTATTGAGACCGGGCGGTACTCAAACTTCTAAAGGACTATAACTTTGTTACTTTAATTTTACCAGAAAAATGTTAAAGGAAAAAAGCATTTCTTTTGATCAGATCTACTCACTGTTAAAATAAATGACTCAACTTCGAAGTCACCCTGTATAAATGTGAACATTTATACACTTAAAGGTTGATGCCCAAGAAAGGTTATAGGCATGGTTTTATCCGCGAATCAACTGTTGTGTCAAATACGAAAATCTCCACAGTTAGCATCAAGTCGGCAACAGCGCGGCCTGTCATCGCCCCACTCAACCTGGGACCGGTTATGCGATACAGACCGTTACACACGTTTTATTTTGTACTAGCTGTTACATGCAAATTCGTACGCTTGAAACCGTTACTAATATTATTTTTAAGTAAGGTTAACTTATCATCACATTTTGTATCTTTGATGGCATTAGTAAATTGACAGCCGACTTGCACGCTTAGGAATTTTGTCACTTCATTTGTGGCGCCAGCTATGCGTTCCGCGGGCAAAACCGTGGGGCAGAAAGCTGGTCTAGATTATTATTGCTTCCCAACACCGTGGACTTACCTTCGGAAGTTTGACTTCGGCAGTGCAATGTTTGAACAAATTACCAGATGTATAGTAATTCTCCTTCATACTATTCCATCATGATTTGCATCCAATCCTATTTTGGACAAAATTTAAAGACTGTAGCTACAGCTCAACCTACTGTTAAGGAACAGTTTCTGGCAGTAAGAATCAGAGCAGAGCACCTGAAATGTGTTAAAATATACAGGGTCTAAAAGTCTGGAGCCTAAGATAATAATTTGTACCCAGGCATAAGTGTAGCTATTTGACGGTGATCTTGATTTTAACCTTGACCTTTTTCCATTTTTAAGTCTATTTTTAAATGATATTGGAAATACAGCAGAACATGATCATGTTATTTCATGGTCCATTTTTTAACGACTTTCTATAATTCTGACACTTGAAAATAAATGACTTGACCTTAAAGGCCAATTTCAATATTCTAAATTCTAAGCTTATGATTGGAAAAACTTTTTTTGGTAGATATCATTTTATCGATTAGATATCTACTGATTGGATATTATATGATCTTCAAAAGTCAAGTTCTTTAGAGGTCACGGAACGTTAAGTTTTCCGTTCAATAAATTTCCGGTGTTGATAATGTAAGGTCTCATTAAGCAAATGTCTAGACCTTGAAATGAGCTTGAAGGTCAAGGTCAAATTCGAGGTTACCATCAGATCGCCGGTGGAAAATCCTACTCATATGCATGGGTAAAATTTGTTTGCCGTATCAGGACTCATTGAATATAATGAGTAAAATGTTCCGCTTAAAAACCCGGGACAATTTCTTAGCTTCCTGTGTCACCTGATAGATGTGAACAGACTTCTTGAATAAAAGTTAAAACGAGCGGTTTCCAGAAAAATCGCTTCTTTATAGCGGCATAATGACGTATATCATATGCATTTATTTTCTCCATTCCTTGTGTACTATTAATAGAGCAATATTCGTCGTTGTCATCGCATGTCCCGCATAAATCGCAGCGACCGTATCCTTTTCGTCGCCTACGCAAGTCGATATTTGGCATGCCATTTCCAATGCCGCTCAGAGCACAATCGGCTCTTCGGCGACACCGCAAGCAATTCCTGTGACGTAAATGTCGCCAACCTGTTCTCGTTCACATCCGTCCTCCGTTTCCAGTTTCTATTATCTTATGCCATTTGCGCGGTGGCAGACGTTACGAAATTATTTGCGGACTTTCTTTGCCGCAAATAGTTTCAATACAATACTAGCCAACTTTGAGAGCGGTTACGTGTTAAGTTCAAGGATTTACTTGCTTATAATCTATTCACCGTCCTCCATTTTCCAATTTCTATCACGTTATGTCATTTGTGCAGTTGTTCATGTCACGGGGATATTTGCACTGCTTTCATATTGAAGCACTCACAATACTAGGCAAGTTTGAAGATCATTAATATTACGCCACTTGTACAGTTGTTTAAGTCATAGGGTTATTTACAGGCCTTTTTGGTAGCAATCAGTTTCAGAATTGAATAACTAGCCAACGATCAGGATTATTGAGTGTTGCGTTCAAGGATTTTCTTGACAGTAATCCACCTACCGTTCTCCAATTTTTAAATTTCTGTTACGCTATGTAATTTGTTCAGTTATTTACGTTATAGGGATAATTACAGTTCTTTTTAACAGCAAGCAGTTTCAGAATGGAGTACACACAATACTAGCCAACTTTCAGGACGGTTACGTGTCAAGTTCAACAATTCACTTGTCTTTCACCGTCCTCCATCTTCCAATTTTATTACGATATGCCATTTGTGTAGTTGAGTAACGTCATTTGCAGACCTTCTTTGGCCGCAATCAGCTTCAGAATGGAGTACCATACAATATTCTCTCCATTTCAAGTTTCTATACCTCCATGCTGTTATCGAGATTGTAAGCGTCACTGAGTTATATGCGGGGCTTTTTTGTCGCAAACAGTGTAACGATGGAGTACTTAAAATATTGGCACCTTGAGGCATTGCTGAGCGCAGCAAGTTTCACTACTTTACTTGTTAACATCGTTCATATGGATCCGGAATTTTTTTACATCATGTATGTTTAATCTGCTTGAAGAGCGTAGTAAAGCAAGATTGATAGTTTTGACCAATTGCCTTTTTGGAAATTTTTACATCTGCCTCTGTCAGGAGGAGCTCTGAATGTATGGTCATAGAATTGTGTATCCCTTAATTCCATCTCAGATTGTCTAAAGCCTACTGAACCATTCATAGAGAATATTTAAAAAAAGCAAGACGAAATTTTTCTCAAAACATATTACTACTAATAATATTTCTACATTCTTAGTTTTGTCAATTGCAATAGACGGTGCAAAATAATTCAATGGTTCAATTTTGAATTCTTTGTATGTCGATTTTAAGACAGTAATTGGAAAAAACAGACGAAGGATCTTAACGAAGGAACTTTTTCAAGCGAACTCCTGATCCAATACCGTTTAACTCGATGCAGCACCTCATTTTGATCACATCAAAGAAAATAAGAAAAACTTCGGAGGCTTTTCCTTTGATGTATATTGGAAAAAGCTATTCTTCTGCAGTTTGTACATCAGTTAGATTATTTAAGCAGAAAAAACCCTGCTTGTGTTTTCATTTACACATCATGCTTTCAGTACCAGAAAATAGCTCAATTGTCTGATATACAGGGTGCGGCAGAGAGGATGGACGGTTTTAAAAAAATCATAAAATAGTTAATTTTTACTCGAAAACAAATTTATTGATGGAATCAGGTTCACAAGGAAATAGCATTTGAGACAGTCAAGTGTGGAAAATCACATCAGGCATGTGGTGGCCGAAATCGTTGATGCAGTGCTGGAGGCGTTCTTGGAAGTTCGCGTAGACTTCCACGCGAATTTCGCCCTTCAATTCGTCCAGAGCTCGGGGCTTGTTCGCGTATACTCTAGCCTTGAGGTCTCACCATAAGAAAAAATCGCATCGCATCTGGGGCCGAGGAGGCCAATTAACATCGCCAAACCTGGAAATAAGGAGACCAGGGAAGAGAGGACGAATAATGTCCATGGATGCTCGGGCTGTGTGGGCGGTCGCCCCATCCTGCTGGAACCACACACGTCGGATTGGAACACGTCGCCGTCGTAATTCAGGGAGAAAGAAGTTGGTGATCATGTCGACGTAGCGCTCTGAGTTCATGGTAACATCACGACCATTACTGTCGCCGAAGGAGTAAGGGCCAATGTTGCAAGTTTGCGACACAACGCACCAAACCGTTACTTTTCGGGATTCGGAATTGACGCATCAAAAACCTTCGGGAAAGTATGTTCTTGTTTCACGGGAAGAATCTTAGCCTGTGTAACTGTACAATGAAAAATTCAATACTCTAATACCTCACTCGTATTCTTTGTTCCACAAAAAGACATGCTCATTGGTATTCGTCTCCAGCACGTCATTCCGTTACCCCTCATGCTTCGTCTTTATTAAATTCCTTTTGGAAGGTCCATTGAATTAGACCGACCCAGATAACCAGAATTGTGTACTGATAGAAGATTAAATCAGGTGACATACACAGTCTGATGGATCAAACGACTTGAGTTATAGAGGAAATTGTGATTTCCCTTAACCACAACCTAGTGGGATACTACCCCAACAAATCAATATTTTCTTTGAAATTGTGTGGATACTGATGGTACGGATCTCAGTAAATACTGATCGTGTGACATTCGCCTATCAGATTATGCAAATATTGTATGTATAGTAATATAGTAAGAAAAGTTCGTGAACTTGGTTGCAGTATGAGTTCGCAGTTACATTTTCTGTATTCTCAGACTGTCTTCTGAGAATCTTGGTGATGTAAGCGAAAAATAAGGTGAGCGGTTTCTTAAGGGTATTAAGATTATGGAGAGCAAATATCAAGAAAGGTTGGACGTAAACATGTTGACAGACTACTGATGTATGTTGAGACGCAAACAGGAGAAAATGCATAATTGAAAAATACTTAACAGACTTCAATAAAAATAAATCTCGATGTGCTAGAAATAAAACAAAGCCGTATTTCTGTTTCAGATATAGTCTAGGTATTTACAAAAATATCATAACCATTGGAGACAAAAAAGTCAAATATTGCGGGCCCACATTTCTAAAAAGAAGTGTCCATAAATCAATCATAAAACTCTTTTTACTAGTTGAAATGTTATATTTGATGTTTTTAGGTATGAATTAGAACGAGAAGGGTTGCATGAATTGCATGGAGAGCTTCAGCGACTGTTTGCTTTGGGATACAGGTGGAACCATGCCTACACACAATGCCGGCTGCAAGAGATGTTGTTTGCTTTCAAAAATGAGTAAGTATTTAAAACCTTACACTCCGACAACTGCATATATTATTCACAAGCCGTATAAGCAACAAAAGTATCCTTTTGTAAGTTAATCTACTTGCACGTTTTTTTGTGCAGGCTACTTTTACTCAGAACTTTAGGCATCCACTTCTTAGACGCTGTGTTAACAATATCAGCTTGTACGTCTGTGAAATGATATAGTAACCCTTTGATTATTCAATATAAAATCATCAGACTGACTGGTTATGGAGACTATATATATATAGCATATACATGCTTCTTCTAAAATTCTTCCCGAGGTTCCCTTTTTTGAGTTCGAACCGTCCATTAATAAGCCAGCTGTAAATGAAGTCTGTGAGTATTTAGTCAAATTTGATCATATAGGAAGTTTGAACGTTCGAACCCTTGTAGTCCACGCTACTTGGCTGGACGTCGCCTAGCTCTTCTATCACTTAATGGAGGAGGCCTGGGTAGCCGAATGGTTAGCGCGTCGAGCTAATAATCGGTCGACTTGAAGGCTCGCGCATTCGAATCTCCTCCACGGATGTTAATTCCGAGCCATGGCTGTTGGGTTGTGTGTTGTCTAAATCACACAGCTACGGCGGCCGTTAACCATATCCTGTTTTCCAAGCCGTTCCGTTTTGCCATAGTTCATTTTTTAGCTGCCTTTTTCTCGTTGTTTCAGCCATCTCTCGAACCCAAGTTCCTTTTGGTCTTCCCCTTTCTCTTCTAAATCGTGGTTTCCATTTCTACACTTTTTGGGGTAGTCTGTCTTAATCTAATCATATTTGCAAATTTCCCCGAAATGATATAAATTCTGGTTTTATTGGTGCAAGTTGTTCAACGGGCTATTCAAATCATGGACGCATAAAATGGGTACACCAATTTTTGTAGGAAAACTTTTTTTTTGACCCCAAAGAGTGATAAAACGTATTTTTTGGGATTCAATCGAAAGTGTCGACAGGAACGAAAAAACTTTTGATATAAGATTTTTAGGTATTTATGTGACCTGAAAAATGGGATCGCACGTAAAAAGATCCGACTAATAGCAAAAATTATATGGCAGAAGAACGAGGCAAAATGCAGGTTTTGGTAATGCCATTATAATTTCAGGCAACTCTTGAAATTCTTCAAATCCGTAGCATTCATACTTCTAAATAAATAACAACAACAAAATTGGAGTATGTTTTTTGAGAATTTCTAATTTTTTTTCTAAATTTCTGATTATTTATCCCAAAACACCTGTTTTCCGGCCATCACTACAAGTTTATTGAGCAGTATACAGTGTTCGTTCAAAGAGCATTTAATAGCAAAATACACGTCTTGATCTTGCCGATATGAATGAATGAATGAATGAAAAAACCTACGTTACTATACACATCTTAAAACAAAGCGGATGTGTCTATCATCTTTTGGTGCCAATTACTCACATATACGAAATGTTTGAATTTGTTTAGAAGAAAAAACGTAGCCCATCCTTTTTGCATAAAAGTAACATTTATTTTCCGGAATGGTTTGCGATTCCTATCGGCAAAGTGAACTAGTGTATTTTGCTATAAAATGCCCTTTGAACTAACCCTGTATATTGTTCAATAAACCAATAATGATGGCAGGAAGACACAAGTTTTGAAATAAGCAATTAGAAATTCTAAAAAACTACTTGACCAATCTACTTCAATTTTGTTGTAGTTATTTAGAAGTACGAATCCTACGAATTTGAAGAACTTGAAATATCTGCGAGAAACCGTCGTCGCATTATTAACGAGTGCCAAAACCTGCACTTCGCCTCGGTTTTCGGCCATAGTTTTTTTGCTATTAGTCGGATTTTTCTACCTGTGGTCTCATTTTGTAGGTCCCATAAATACCTAAAAATCTTATATGAAGGGATTTTTCGTTCCTGCCTGTCGGCAAACACGTTTTCTCATTCTTTTTTGTCGAATTAAAAGTTTTTCCAAAAAATTGGTGTACCCATTTGATGCGTACCATGTTTTGAATACCCCCTTGAACAACTTGCAGCAATACAAACAGACTTTACAATTATTTCGCAAACCAGGGGTATTTCCAGATAGGCTTCGAATATGGTTATACCACATCAATAGTTTTGTTATATACGGTCTGTAAGCGATGCTTGTGTATGTATACTTTATCTTATTTCTTCATTTCTTACATGGTCTACAATGATTTTTTTTCATCTTCTCCAAAACATAATTTCAGTGGGATTGATTCAGCTTCTCAACCTTTGGTTTAAGGTTCAAGCTTCCTACTCATAGGTGACTGTGCTTTCTATAAAATTGAAAAACGTTCATCTTTTTGGTTTCCTTTGTAATTGTGTCAATCCACAGTACTGGGTGCAATTATTTGATGGTGACTTTTCCTTATCTAATTTTGTCATATAATATATTTTGGTCATCTCTGCCATCGCTAGTGATTTTTGTTCCTAGATATTTATATTCTTTTGTAATGCTTTATTATTCCTCCGTCTGTATGTAAATTTCGACCTTCCGCTCCTATCACCATGTGCTGCATTTTCTGCAAATTAAGAATGTGCAAAGAACGAACGACTTTTTAAAAAAGCAACTTTATTTGTGTGCTGCATTTTCTGCAAATTAAGAATGTGCAAACAACGAACGACTTTTTAAAAAAGCGACTTTATTTAACAGAAGACGAATGAGTATTGGTCACCTTGGTTTACATGCATCTCTTACTTATAACCTACGCTAGTCAAAGGAATCGAAAAGTGCAAACCTAAGGAACTCTACATATTAGATCATCATCATAGCAGTGCCGTAATTCCTCCCTCTTCAAGAAGATTGAACCTCCTGGTTCAAAGGAAAAATCTGGTTAAGTTCCATGTCATTTTTGACTGATTGATTTTTTGGTTCTTTTTGCTTCAAAAGAGAGAGCAATTGTTTTTTAAACAAAGTATAATTACAATAAATGTTAAAATACATAAAATAGTTACAATGCTAAACGTGGACGTTTTGTGTGAAAAATCTAATTTTTTTAATTTATCGTGTAATAAAACATTATTCAATTGTATATCCGAATAACCCTTTACGTCAGTATTTTCAAATAACATATTCTTATCATAGTTCACCATAATGTTAGGTATGTATAAAGGTTTCGAAATATCAGAAATCTTCAAATACTCGGTATGATCAATAAATGTTTTACAGTTTAAGCTGATAATAAAAGAGGAATCAATTTCTTTTCTTTCTTTGGTACAATCTTCATATACTGGAATATTCTTGTTAGTATTCACTAAATAGTTATCATGTTTTAATTGAATTATTTCTGAAAATGAACCTTTTGCAAAGAATGTACAATTTTCAACTTTAAGTAAGTTACAACTGGAATGGATTAGTATAGTACAGTAAAAATATTTATTACTCAATAATTTGCATTCATCACAAAAATGTATAGTTTCATTTTCGATAATATTTTTATGTTTCAATACCAGAATATTATTTTGGTGTATAATGGGGTATATATTGGAATATATAAAGTTACCAGTAACTGTTGGTATGTGAAGAACAAATATGATTTCTTCTTCGAGGACTATAATACTTAATTCACATAATTCGAAAAATTCAAAATTATGCAGTTTATCGAGTGGGAGAAGTTCATTTTTGTCAAATAGATCACTTAATAACGAATGGATATAATTAATTTCAGTCTTACTCAGCTGTAAGAGATTAATGCCCTGATTTGTGCTTAGGTTAATGGTTAACAGTAAGTGTGATAAATAATTAGAAAATCTTTGAATAAATATTATCTCATTCAAGACATACTGAGAATTAGCGTATTCGCTATGCAATTTGTTGAGGTTATCCAAATTATCTCTCAAATTTTTCTTTATAATTAAAGTGTTATTTTCAAACCTGTCTTGTAATTGTTTTGCTACAGAGACGGTTCGGGAATTTTGTAATGATAAATTATCTTGATTTTCCTTCAGCATTTTCATATTTTCCATTATTTCGCCTAGATCAGATTGATCTAAATTGCCTGAAATATATTTTATGACGGAACCAAGACCATTAAATAATCCACGCTTAACTCGTTTAAATTTTAACATTTCATATTTGTCTAAAAGCAAATTGTATTCATGTTCAAGTTGTGTCATCAACGTATCATCGATTCTTTGTTTTGCAAAATAGACATTTGACGTTATTTGCTTGATATTTTCATTAATGAGAGAGAGATTTATATGAAAAAATGTCTTATGGTACGCTTTTAGTAGATAGGCGTTACCTAGCTCTTGCTTAAAATATGGTGCTTTATTCTCGATCAGCTGGATCTCTAGGCCGGCTAGTTGAAGGGCCTGGATTAGGATCCTGAAAGTTAGAAATTTTGCGTTGCGGTTAACTCTATTCAGTCTATGCTTTTTTCCTTTAGTGCGCAAATTAATATGGACATTTTCTTGTTCGTAAGAGGTCTCTTTAGAATACAGGGGTTTTGTTTTATGTGAACGATCTAATGCAGATTTAAGATATACTGGACCTTCTAAGGTTGGAATTTCCTTATTTCGATTTCGATTCCTTTGTTCTAGCGTAGGTTATAAGTAAGAGATGTATGTAAACAAAGGTGACCGGTACTCATTCATCTTCTGTTAAATAAAGTCGCTTTTTTAAAAAGTCGTTCGTTGTTTGCACATTCTTAATTGGCGCTGCGAACAGGATATCGGCGTACCGAATCGATAATCGGCGGTATTGATTCACGAGTATCGCTCAATCGAGACCGAAAAAGTGCCAAAAATCGTCCGGTGTGTTCGGGTACGATTTCAATCGTTTTGACGTCGATCACAAAGAACTTCGAAGGCACATCACCATCGAAGTACCAGGCCAAAATACTTGCTAAGTATTTTGGGAGCAGGCAACGACACTTGAGAAAACGACAGGAACTGACAGGAGCGAGGTGCTGGATCCACGGCAGGCAAGCTGTCAACCAGGAGGAGCTGTATTGGCCCAAGGAGATATCTCAGATCTCTCCAAATGAAGCTGCTAGTGCCCAGTGTAGCGTAAGAAACAACTATTACAATTTTTGCTGTACTCAGTGATTTTTCGATTTATTTCTCGAAACTTTTTCGCCCTCTATTGCTTTACATTTATATATACTCGTAAAAGCTATCTATAAGTAAAGTTATTTAGTGACTTTAATTGAATATATTTAATGTCCGATTCTGAATTTGAATCTGTAGCCGAAAATACACCTGTTAGATGTCTCTTCAAGATTTACAAATTAAATTCAATGTAGCTAAATATATGGTACCAGAATATCATGGAGGTCACAGAGATCTAATTTATTTTTTGGATAATTCAGAAAAGTTTATTGCAGAATTTGTTAATACACCTTTTGTTTCGTATGCTTTCCAATACATTATTTCTCAGCTGAAAAGCGAAGTAAGAGATCTAGTGCATCTAACTAGTCCGAGAACCTGGCCAGATTTAAAATCATTATTATTATCCAAATATAAAGATCCTAGAAATGAAGAAACTCTTCTCACCGCCTTATATACGTCAGTTCAGAAACCTAACCAAAAATATGAAGACTTTTATCAAGAAATTAAATTTAAGGTACAGAGCCAGAAAGAATTTGCAAATTTAGAATACCATGATAATCCCGATCATATCGCTTTTAAATTGAGAGACTATGATAGACAGTCTTTGAGCTCCTTTATCTCTGGTTTGAATGAACCATATAGGTCTTATGTAAGACAGCAAAATCCTACTACAATTGATTCTTGTGTTCAATATTGTCGTGATTATGATAATTTGCAAATGCAAGTTGATTACAAAAATTTCTTAAGAACGAGCCTATATAAACGACAACAGCCTCAGTCTCAGAATAAAGTACAAGCTTCAAATCAAAATTTCCAAAGGTCTAATTTTAATTTTTCTCAAAAGCCCAATCAGTTTAGAGCCCAAAATAGTCAAACTTGGCTAGAGCCACAACAAACCTTCCCTACAGGTCCCACGCAACTACCACCACCTAAACAAAATTTTAAACCTCATTACCCTACGAACATTCAAGCTTTCAGACCACCACAGAATGTTTTTTCCAAAAAACCCATTCCAGGCCAACAAAAAAGTAATCCTATACCTATGTCTGTATCTACAGCACGCACACCGAAACCCCAACAAAACCCATATCGTCAACAAATGCCCACTAGAATTAATGCCTTTCAAGTAGGTCCCAAACCAAACCATTATTATGTCGAAGAAATTACTCATCTTGAAAATGAGGAAGAACAAACTTTTGCAGGAACGCCACAATATGAATCTGAGGAATATACCCAAGATTTCGACTCAGACTATATCCCCTATGAATCTTATTTTGAAAACAATGACGAAGAAAATTTTAGATATAAATAATTATCAAAAAACTCATCTTCCGTATATTTTTTGTTCTCAGTTTAATCTTCTCATCTTAATCGATACTGGTGCATCATCCTCCCTGATCAATCCAGAAATTGCTTTTAAATATTTTCCAGATCGTATTTATGATCATCCTTTTGAAATTAATTCATGTACGTCCAATTTTAGAGGTCAATATGCCTGTAAAATTCCCATATTTTCTGAATGGAAGAATAAAACTGAAATTGAATTTTTAATTCTTCCTTGGCATTCACGTTATGACTGCTTATTAGGATTCTATGATGTACAAAAGCTTAATTGCTCTATTGATTTGACTAAACATCAGATTATTACTGATAAATGTAAAATTACTTATAACACTTCTTTTAAGCCAATTCGAGAAAACAATCCTGTTCGCAGCGCCAATTAAGAATGTGCAAACAACGAACGACTTTTTAAAAAAGCGACTTTATTTAACAGAAGACGAATGAGTACTGGTCACCTTGGTTTACATGCATCTCTTACTTATAACCTACGCTAGAACAAAGGAATCGAAAAGTGCAAACCTAAGCAACTCTACATATTAGATCATCATCATAGCAGTGCCGTAATTTGCATGATAGTTTCCAAGCCTCATTTTTCGAATTCTTCGATCAGTTTTTTGAGCATATAGTTCACATCGTCTTCGATTACTCGATTGTCAGCAAAAAAATGGATATACAATGTATCTTCATCGATACTTCTACAAGACTTTATATTTATAGCACAATGAATTGTGGAAAATTTTTGCGCAAGGTCAACGGGCAATAAATATTCAGGTTTTAAAAGAGTCACTCTCATTTGGCATATATGATTATTTAGCAGCACCTTCATTGCGTCTTTGATAATCAGCAGTATATCGTTAGTGTCTTATTCTGTTTCACTAATTCCTCTTTATGATCATTCATTCAATCTTTCATTTCTCTACCGAATCAGGCTTGCGCCTAGAACTTCTTACTGTGATTGTCGCTTTTCCAGTTTGACCTTCGACCCCAACACATGTGCTCACCTGACAGACAACGACCTTGAGGGGGCGCTGCGTGCTCTGGAAGGTCAGGTGTCCATTAATCCTCAGGAGATCGCCGTAATCAAGTATACGCCCAGCGAAGCGGACCCCCACGGACCGTTTGCAGATGAAGTGTTTTATCCTCCAGCGGGAGCTTTGGAGGAGAGGGAGAGGATGGAGAACAGGAGGAAAATCTTGTCACCGAATGCCATTGAATGTAGGTTTGAAAATTGTAGTATGCGAGACACTTTCTTGCTAGCACATAATGCTCGAATATGGCCTACTTTCAAGTTTATTTGATTTCCGTTATATACTGAGATCCAATGAAACAGAACCCCAAAACGCGGTGGGTAAAGTATCGTTTGATAAATGATCAGCCGCCAACCTTCTTCCAACCTAGCGCAGAAAGAAAGAGAAACTGGTAATCAATTGTACATATTTGTTTGTTTTTTCGCTTTTGACATGTGCGCGTGGAGCAACTATAACGTGGTGGGCAAAATATTGTTTTAATAAATGGCAGGTTGCCAACCTACTGCCAACTCAAAGCAGTATGCACGAAAAATTAATCAACCACTATCGTTTACGCTTCGTTTTTCCTTCTAACATGTGGGGATGATTCCTCATCCGGGAGGGGCTTAGTTAGCCAACCGAACATGCTATCATTCCCTCCCAAAAAATGCTTCTAGCAGATGAACGACGGGACCTCCTTTTTTGGGGGGTGAATCCATATTGACCCACGAGTCGATTTCTAGAAACCGCAACCCGCCAACCGCTTCATTACCTTGATAACCTCTGAGTGGGAAACATTTCTTCTAACAGATACTCTGGAGTTTTGTGTCTCAGGCTCCATTACTCTACATTTCAGTGTGCCCACTTTGGTAGAACTAAAACATGTTTTAGGTGTTTCAAAACCGCTTAAAATTATCAGTATAATAACCTGCTTATAGACTCTTAGCCTTGCTTATTTTCACAACTATACGCTGTTATTATATGAAAAATCTATTGCGATCCTCTTGGTGATCTGATGATGCTTGATGACAAAATCGATATTTTTTGTGATTCTAGTGGACCTTCCAGACCCATACGCGGACTATGCGGTAGCAAAGAGGAACTGGATCCCTCAAATGCGTCGCAGAACGCCCCCTAGGTACCCTGTCACCAACGATCCAGTCGATTCTCTGGAGTTTTTAGAAGCGCTCGACAATGATACTCCCTTGACGAACTATGAACTAAAGGACAATAAGCTTACCTTGGCAGAGACGACTGAAATGTATCCGGTTAGTACAATATATTACCTGTTTTTCTTTCAGTTAACTGCTATTTTTCTCCACGCAATATGAAAGGCCATAGAAATATATATGAGCAGTGGCGGATCTAAGACTTCCGAGGCCCGACGCAAAAACTTTTTAGGTTCCCTTGAAGGGTCGAGAATATGGCTAGAGGCGCTCTGTCACAGAGCGAAATTTAGGCTCTATTGCCGCTGCGCTGGTGGTAAGAATTGTACAGGGGAGTGGGTTTTGAAAAAAAACAAACTTTCTTTACTGAAGGGACCCTCGCCGTTGACCCCCTTTTTAACTATTTTGCATGACATTTTAGAAAAAAAATACATACAAGAGTTGTAGAGCTTAATATAAAGTTTTTTAGGGATTGTCTTTTTTTTATAGAAACTACTATCAAATAAAATTATATTTTTTATATGAAACACGATGTATATTTTGACGAAACTGATTGTCGATTTTTTTCTGATTCAACATATTATGTGTTCATGCCATTTTATTTTCATCTGCACTGTATGTTCGGTCGCACAAAATTTGGTCGCGCTTATTGGTTTTCTTGAGAAAGGGAAAGAGTACGAGTACACTCTAGCACTAGACAGAATAACAAGAGTCGTCGTCGATATCGCAAGAATTGCCGCAATTTATAATAAATAGCTAATGACTGTACAAGTGGCTGTTAACAAGTTTCAGAAGAGACCAGAGGCCCCTGCCGAAGTCCACACATGAAGGATCAAAGGTAACCAAAAATCTAGTGCCTCGTGGTTCACCCATTTTTTGGCACTTTTTCGCGGCCACCTAAGGCATTGTTACCACCCCCCCACAATGCTTATTGTCATTATTTAGTCAAAACTTAAATTTTATAGGTCATTAGATCATAATGAATCTCTGTCCTATACCAGATTGCATAGGCGGCTATTCAAACAGGTTTGTGCTCGGATACAGATAAATTGTAAATAAGAAAAAATATACATAGAGGGAGCTCTACTCGGTTTTGTGAATTTAAGAGGGGAAGAGAGCATAAAAGAGGACTAATTAGGAATTTGAGGTAATCTTCTGTAGATTTCACTTCAAAATCGGTACTTCGGTAGAATAGAACTGAAATCGGTAGATCGATCGAAAAATCGGTAGACCTGGTATAAGCCATCATACAAAAGAGTTAGAGGGGATCAGTTTATAGCTGAACACTGTACAGCGCGTCGTATGCGTCATCTACCTGAAGATGAGCAAATCTGATAAAAGCTTATCTCTATTCTATTGAGATAACAACTTACTACGATCGTAGTATTTTTGTACCTTTAATGGCGATGCGGTATTAGCTTAATTAAGTATAAACCACGAAAATCAATTCAATGCTCACACACTTTCTTCACAGTCTTTTTCCTTATTTAGACTTAAATGCCCCATTTCGAGAGATTATTGAAAAACTACAGAATTTGAAAAAAGTCGAAAACTATAGATTATTGGTCATTCATATGTATGGTACAATTATTCCATTCTAGATCCTCCTAAGACACTGAAAGGGATTCTGTAAATTACCACTGACGTCATATACAGATACGACAGTGACTGCTGGTCACTTTGATATTGATGTTACCAGCCATTAAATAACTATCCTACCAATTACCAGGGCCGTCTGTATAATGTGTCCCAAGAGGGCCAGTACCAGCATATGAATATACTCACAAAAAGTTTTCAAAAGCCAAAAACAGCTCCAACAGAGGATTGTAATTCCTCAAAACTTTTTGAAAGTGGGAAGAAGGGAAAATTCTAACATAAGTTTTATGAGATGGCTTTCTAATACTAATTACATGTTATATAAAAGTATTCCTGATGACATTTTGAGAAAAATATCTCTTAAAGACAAAAAAACACCTGTTCACCTGTTTTCATATACTTTTTTAAATTTTTGATAAAGTGTGTTACAATGACAGTGACGGAAATACTACCAAGTCCAACGATTTTTGCCAAGCTTTCATCTCTTTGCTTAAAATATGCTACGGTTGAACCATTTTCCTTCCGCATGAAGACAAGCCAAACCAATTATGTTTTGTTTTTTGACTAGGTGATAAAATTTCTCAACGACCTGCATCTAACACCCCGAGAAATCCAACAATTCATCAGCCCCGAAAACTACGAGAACCTGGCCGAATTATTGAGTCGATTTGACAGAATGTACGGCCAACAGTACGACATTCAGGAGCTGGTCAGAAAGCAGCTGGAAGCTGATGAGGAAGCTGAAAATGCAGCTGCGGAGGAGAGATTCACGGCCAATTACAATACTCCGGCAAATTTTAGGGCGGGGTTTGAATCCAAGGATAGTAATATGAATGAGGGTAATGAGTTACCAGAATCCAGGATATATTTTGATGAAGAGGAGGCTGGTGACGATGGTGGGGAGTATGGAAGTGGCCACTCAGGTAAGTTACAGAATAACATAATCATTTCTCTCATCAGATTTCGATGGATGGCCGAGTTCTATCAAAGTGCTGTTAATTTCGGCTGGTCGGAGTCCAGATCACCGAGGACTTGATCTGCCAGCGGCTGGGAAAAAGCTAGGGCTAAAAATTACTTTTCTCCACACGACCTTGCCACTCTGTACATGACGCAGATAAGACCTAGCCCCATGCTCGATGCTGTTTAGACCTGACTGACATTGACCTCCCACCCTAACAGTGTCAAACTTCGTACATCTAAAACTGGTCGATACGACCGCTCCTTTGTCCCGAGGGTGTCGAGATTGTGGAACAATTTACAAGAAGAGGCTTTTTCAAGTTCCACTTACTCTAAGCAGGCAAAAATCGGATTAACAAGGTTTCTTTAAGCTGCTCATAGCAGCGCCCAGGCATTTAGGTTTCTGCCTGCGCGGCTGCTTCGTTGTGAAAAAAATACTTTTCAATTCTACTTTTATTTTTCTATCTGTGTTGGATTACATCATACCCTGCCCTTCTAATTGCAATCATGTCTTCATATGTTCTCGAAATTCATGTAGTACTACTCTCATTTTCGTACTGTAGAGACAAAATTGAAAAAGTGGCGACACAGAAAATAAACTCTCTTTATTTTAATAACATCTTTGAGATGGATAATAATTTCTAGCCCAAAACTAACAAATCTGCTGCCAAGAAAATGTATTCAGGCTAAAACATTGATTAAGGCACAAGATATTGCACCAAGGCAACCTGAATACCGTCAAACAAATACAAGTTTTGCAAACCTTCGAGTGACCATCCAGGAAAGCGATATTTTTGTTGAAGCTATCTATTGCCGAAAATTGTCGTACTTATATGCAATTGAAACAGTATCCAGTCGAAAATATCTGTACCTCATTTTAAAGCTCATAATAATATTTTTGACCTCTTGGAGAATTTTAGATAATTTCCTACTGAAAGTTTTACATCAATAATAATACCCAATACTACTCGTATTATGCATGATACGAATGATCTCTTTGGAAAGATTCACATGAAAATAAATCACTAAATCTTTTTTACAGCAGGGATATTTAGAGAAAGGCGGTTAGAACATGATCTTCCAAAGAACGGAGAAATATTCAGAGAACTGACAAATAAACAACACGATGATGCGCCACCAAAAATATACACGGAAGGAGGAGTTGTGTGGAGTGATCCTGTGGAAGGTAAAAATTTCGAAATTACAATAACCGCTAAATTTTTTTCACTGAAATGTTGACAAATAGGTGTATAGCCATCAGCAGCAATCAAAGGGAACAGTTTCGTAGCATTCTGTAAATATAAAATTAATATTATTTATCACTAAAAATATAAAACCTATTAATTTCAGAAGCTTAAATGTGGTCGATTTTTTTTTCAGATATACCTGAGGAGAATAATGACAAATTGTATAGAAGGTTAAGAAATATGGGTTTCAAAAGACCAGAAAGGTTAGACGTCAAAAAACCTGGACCTCGGTTTGACACAGACATACCAGGATCTGCTCAAAAAGGTATTTAACAAATAAAATTAAAGCACATTAGAAAAATATACAGACACAAGTATAGAATATGGGAGATTTATTATTTTTTGACATAAAATATAATTTTGCAGGAGACAAACCAGAGCACAATTCTGAAACTTTAACTGCACCTGTCATGATGAAGAAACAACCTAGTGAAATAGGTATGCATACGTCCAAAAAATTAATTCTTTAACAGCCAGTATCTTATCATTCATCGTAATAAGACAGCGCCAGGTGCCATTTGTTACCTAAATTGACCACTGCGAGAGTGAAAACAGTAAGCTGTTTACCAGTTAATACTGTCAGCCATGTCACGGGCCGCTAGATGCCGCCGATTCTGGTGCTATAGTAGATTGAACAAACTAGTAGTAGTATACCTTCGGTCATGCTGCCATAGACAGTCAACCATGGATAGATGTTCCGTACTATTTGGCAACTCCTCAGCATGATGTAGGCTTGTTCTCATGTAAGACAACGCATCTAGCGGCCTCAGTGGTGACCCGGCTGATAATGCGAACTGGGATACAGTTCCAACAGACAGCTTGTTGAACTCACTTTCGCAGTGGTCGATTCTGGTAACAGATGGCACTTTGTGCTGTCTTATTTCGATAGATCCTATACTTATACGTGCTTAACTTTCGTTCGTTGTCCTACCTGAGACCGAGCCTACACCATCCTGAAGAGCTAACAAATAGCACGAAACAGCTGTCCATGGTCATTCAATTCATTCACCACTTTCGATGCCTCCTTGGTTTTATTTTCTGCACCCATTATTTTCTGTTTATAATAATTCATTTTTGTTGAGGCTTACATATTTTCTATGATACCTCATAGAAGAGTTATTGAACCTTTTATTTTTTATAAATTTCTTGATTTGTATAAATCTCCAATTTCGAGATGATATTTTCAATCCTATTGTGATCCACGGTGTTTACTCTTAATTTTAACTTTATGTTTATTATGTTCTAGCACTAAATATTGTAAGTTAAAAACCATTATTTTTTTAGATAATAATGATGACAATGATTTCGTGCACATCGAATTGAAGAACGGATTGAAATCTTGGACTCAAGGTGTGGACATTTTGAAAACAATCCAACGGCTCTTAAACGTACAAACGGGAATTTTTTCGCACAGCATGTAAGAGATTCTACAATAGATGATTTACTTTTTCTTGTAAAATGGAAAAATATTTTTCAGGTACAAGCCATATTCGATTACATTCAAGGTGGAGCCGAATAATACAGGATACAATTCCTACCAAGTCGCTAAGAAAATACGTGATATAATTAGTCAATTACAGGATCTAGAAGGAATTGAAATTGTGTCTGTTGGATACGGCGATATGGTAAGCATGCTGGTAGTAGTTATGGACTAAGGCCTTTTTTTATAGCATACTCGTATACAGTCAATTACATCCCATTTTTTTTTACTTTCAAAATCAGCCAACTATGTGTAATAGCAATAAACGAAATACTATTTCCTAATGTCCAAGTCGACTTTTCGGTTTTTCAGCAAGATGTAAGGGAAACAGTTGCACTAGATGGTTCTGATCACGATGAGAAAACTGGAAAAATCAGGCCCACCAAAATAAAGAAAGAACCAAGAGGAATGTATAGGTACCTGTCGGATCACGGTCAACTGAAAAACGGTGATATGGAATACGTTTACGTTGAATTTGTGAATGGTTTGAAAAGTTGGAGTCAGGGTAGCACCATAATCAGGAACATTTCCAACATGTTGCATTTGGAGCCTACAGCATTCACTGATGGAAAGTAAGTATAGAAACTTGTCTTATGGTGCTTCTAAACAGGCAATACATTTTGAAATTTCCGACCTTTCTCCGTATATTGCTGTCATATCGCTGAAATATAGGAATTTTACTTAATGTAATTTAAGTAATATAAGCTGCCGGAGACGCGTCCAATTTAATTAGTCATTTTTGCCTGATCCAGTAACCCTTTTGATGATTAAATTCTGACAAACGATGTCTACATATTGCAATCAATATTGCCAAGGTACAGCCAAGATATTCACCCTGCCATATGCTGCATTATTGTCATGATGGATTGCCATTCAAATGCTCCATTATTCAGATGTGAAAAACACATTGTCAAAACCTACTATGTTATATCAGCAATTCGTAATATTCGCCAAAAAGTCGGGACAAAAAGCAAACCAAAATAAAGGCATGACTTTCCAAAAAATTAACATTCTAGGCTTCGCCATTTTTATGAAAATAAAACCCCCTACTCATTTTTTGAACGAGTCTAGTTAGAAAGCTCAAATTTGGAATGATGAACTCAACGCATGAATGCTGTATTTCAACGTAAAAATAACAACTAAAAATTTCAAAATGGCGACTGAGCGCCATCTTGGAACATTTTTTAAATTGGAATGGGGGATCAAGTGATGAATATTTTTTATATAAGCCTGGAATACAAAATGAATATCTTTCAAAATGGCGGACTGGCAAATTGTCAAAGTTGAGCGTTATGGTACATTGAATAGCTTATAATTTAATAACTAATCACCAAGACTATATCAATCTTTTTCTTTTAGAAAAGACTATCTGAATGTGCAAAAAATATGACACATTCCGTTTGAAAAAAATTTACAAGTTTTGACAAAGGAATGTTCCATATTTTATTACATGTTCGGGAAAACCGTTCCAAGAAAAGAAAATTGATATGGGATACTATAGCATTTTAATGATTGGTTGATGAGTTATAAGCAACCCAATGTACAAAATGCTAAACCTTGACAGCCAGTCAGATCGCGATAATGAAAGGTAGTGATTTTATATTCTAGGGTCATAAAGTACTCGTAATAACGAGCTTCAAAATGACGTATCACGCGATCCCTCATTCTATTTAGAACAATATTTAAAAATTTACGCTGCAAAATGTTGTTTATGCATCAATTTCAGTAGCCCAAAATTTCAGATCTTTAATTTGATCCGTTCAAAAAATAAGCAGAATCTCACACTTCGGTCAGAAAAGGCCGGCAAGACAGTGCTGTCGAGCTTTTCTGCCTGTAAGAGAGGCTATAAAAGCTTTCTCTTGTCAAAAAATGTGTATCTGTAAGCTAGTGCTGTGCTTGCAGGATTGATCCAAATTCGGTCATATTCAAAGTGAAGCAGAACAGCAAAGGATTAAATGCCAGTGAGGTTGCTAGAAGAATTCTGCAAGAAAGAGATAAAGTCAAGGAAGTTACTGGAATAGACATTATCTCCGTTGGAGTTGGTGACAAGGTAAGAAATAATTTCCGAAGTAAATACAGCTTTGCAAATATCATTTATTTTCCTTTCAGGAAGAAAGACAATCAGTGATGTCCATACCATTATCAGCTGACCATCAATTCTATGTGATCACATTTTTGGTATGCGGAATTTTGGCGGCAACAATTGTTGCTGTCATTGTATTGATCTTCATACGCAGACACATCAAATCTAAAGAAAAATCACATGGATTAGCGAGAGGAGATGCCGAATCAAGCACAAACAGTCATGGCACACCTAAAAAGGTAAAATAGACTTAGTAGAGGTTCAGAATTTGAGAAATGAGGTGCCAAGTCACGAAACGTATCACACATACCTCTACATACTAGAGTGACCACAGAAATTTCGTTTTTCCAGAATCCACCATCCGGCAAAGATGTTCATGGAGGGCGAGTTACATCTCTATCAAGGGAATCTGAACAAAGCCCATCCAGTAGAAGTAGTACCTCATCATGGAGTGAGGAGCCAGCTCTACACAATATGGACATCTCTACAGGTATTCAAGTCGATTCACAAAACAAGCTTCTGCTATTTCCTTTCTACTAACATCAGTAAAACATTGCCAATTTATCATTCATGAAATACCATGAATTTAAAATGTCGTCCAAGTAAATCCTACCTTCAGTAGCTATATCAAGCAAAGATTTAACGTAGTGACATAAAGCAAATATGATGCAGCTTCCACCAAATCCTAGGTTAGGTGGATTATGCTTGCGGCAGAAACTGAATTTCTGCCCATCATCAGGAAATTGGCTTATTCGTAAGCAGTAGTTGTTATTGAGAAAATTCCACCTTATGAGAAGATGAAAAGAACTGGAATTGCCATACAATACATGTATGAAAAATTTCATTGAAAGTGATGTTACAGATATTAGTAATTCATTACTTATTTTTTAAACCTTTTCCACCTAGTGTATCTCAAAAGTTAGGACCTTTAGGATAGATATTCACAAGAAGTTTTCTTCTCAAAATGGATTCAAGAACCGCCCCCTTCAATGTTGACATTCAATTAGGAAACACTCTATATTGCCATCGTTTTTCAAATCACCCTCTATAACATAGAATATTTGTGTGAGCCAGACTTTGGGATAAACACATGAAAGGATAAAAGGTTACTCGCACAAAAATTCATTCAATTCAATCAAAGTTCCGAAGTTTACTTTTAAACAAAGATAAGCTGTGAATCTGCTTAATATCTAAAGGTATACTAAGTGACATATAAATCCGAACACCCAGTTTAAATGGTTTTATTTTAATAAAATTTTTTAAGTACTTAATGAAGCATAATAAGTAAATGATAAAAATTTCAAAATGATTGCACTGCTTTAAAGCCCTTTGAACTTTAATAATGTGTGGATGCACCCTGATGTGCTACGCATTCTCCAACGCGCCTAGGCATGCTTTTGATCAGGTGGTCAATGTCCTCCTGCGGTATCTCATTCCAGGCAAACACCAACTCCTCTCGAAGTGCTTCTAGAGTCTGAGGAGGACGTTGGAAATTGAGCAATCTCATAGCCATCATATCCCACACGTGCTCAATTGGGGATAAGTCGGGAGATCTTGGTGGCCATGGTAACAATGTGACATTATTATGTTGAAAGAAGTCTATTGTGACTCTTGCAACATGTGGTCGGGCATTATCTTGTTGGAAAGTTGGATCTGCCAGGGTGTCAAGATAGGGTAAAAGATGGGGTTCTAGAACTTCGTGGATATAACGCTGCGCGTTCATGTTACCTCTGATGAGGATTAAAGGTGACCAGGAACCATAAGCTATAGCACCCCAAACCATAACTCCAACAGTGTGACGAACATGTCTTTCAACAAAAAACTGTGGATTCCTCCTTTCACCACGTCGCCTTCTAACCCTGGCACGACCATCGTGCATGCCTAAACAAAATCGAGACTCGTCACTAAAGACAATACTGTTCCATTCCTGATCCCAGAGTGACCGTTGTCTGCACCACTCAAGGCGATTACGTCGGTGTTCTTGAGTTAAAGGGAGGACCCAGTGTGGCCGGTATGAAAACAAGCCAAAACTTCCCATTCGTCGGTAAACACTTCGCATGCCAATAGGTCTTCCGTGTTCTGCAAACCATTCATTTGCAATGGACCTGGTAGTGGAGGAACGGTCCCTTAAGGCCAATAATCTTAGGCGGCGATCTTCACGGTCTGTTGTTCAACGGCGGCGTCCAGTGCCCCTTACTCTTTGCATACGGCCTTCTCGAAGCCATGCCTGACAACACCTAACCACAGTGTCTACACTTCTTCGCACTCTAACTGCAATTGCCCGAAAAGAAAGTCCAGCTTCCCGAAGTCCCACTATACGGCCCCTATCAAACTCACTAAGTTGACGGAATCGTACAGGTTTCCGTACTCTAGGCATCGTAACCGATCGTAAAGGATGTCAAGAACCAAAATCCGACAACGTTGATTCTTTACTGTGGCTGAAATATTCATTTTTAGAGCGTTAGTGAATTAAAAAAAATCAGTATAAAAACCGTAATGTCCAACTGATAAGGCTGAACATTTTTTCACTTGTTATTTACAGTAAGATAAATACATTCACCAACTTTTATTAAACTAAAACCATTTAAACTGGGTGTTCGGATTTATATGTCACTTAGTATAGTTTATTATACGAGTACATGGCACTACATAAATACATCGGACTTTTTTATAAGCACTGAGATTGAACTTTTGAATATGAAAATGGTTATGTCTAGTATTGTAGGCGTGTATGTCACTGCGCTGGGGAAATGAATCTGAATTTTCTTTAACATATAAACATAACTCGTAGATCAGTGTTGACGGTAGCGTTATAATTATAATCTACAAATGACTATGAACCAGGTATCAATGTTCATATCTCTATCTATAAAATGTCCATTTAACTGTACGGATTAAAATGTGTTAGGTCACATGGTGCTCAGCTACATGGAGGACCACCTGAAGAACAAAGACCGCCTGGAGCAGGAATGGGTGGCCTTATGCGCCTACGTAGCCGAACCTTGTGAAACCGCAGTGGCTAACAAACCTGAAAACAAGGATAAGAACCGGTACCCCGATGTAGTGCCCTACGATCACGCTCGTGTCGTTCTGAATGAGCTATCAAACTCATCCGGTTCTGATTATATCAACGCATCTTCTATCACGGATCATGACCCAAGGAACCCAGCTTACATCGCTACGCAAGGCCCATTGCCCCACACCGCACCAGATTTTTGGCAGCTTATCTGGGAACAAGGCGCGGTTGTTATTGTTATGTTAACTAGGTAAGCTGAATGACACAAATGCTGTATCGGACTTGGGTCTAATACTGAGATCCGGTATTCGAATACGAATCCTGAATACCTGGATTGATTCAAATACGAACAATATTGGAATATTCCAACTATAAAAACATATGCGCACTTCAAACTTGATTTTTATTTAGATATTCAAGTTATAAAAGTACATAACAAAAAAATACATGACTACATTAATTAATACTTGAAATAACATTTTAATACACACTGTCACAGTGAGGTTAGACAAAAAATTGGAAAAAAATTCTTTGATTTTTATAAAATTTTCATAGAAAACTTAATGAGAAAATATGTACACAATGCACCTAACTAGTGCAAAAATAAACTTATTTTTTCATATACATATAAAGTAGAAACTTTATCTGATATCACACACGAATTATAAAAGATATTAAAATTTATTATAAAATAGAATGGCAGTACTGCACAAGCACAACTGCATACGTACTCTTAACATTCCTTAAGCTACCTGTCCACATCGCGAATTCAAAGGCACCACCATCCACACAAAATAACTTTGCGTAGCTATTTTGTTTATTCATTCATAAGAACAGCCAAATAGTATTCGAAAACAGGTTTTCAATACAGGATTGGAATATCGGGATTTGAATACAAAGTGGGTATTCGTATGTTGGGATTGAGAAAAGGTATTCTGAATTCAAAATACCGAGCACTGACCAAAAAAGTATTCAGTTGAATAATAAATACCAAACAAAGAAATTTATTCAAATAATACTCGAATACCAGGTAAAAAATACTGAGTATTCGAATACTACCCAAGTATGTCCTGTATAGATTCAGGAAGAGTTCAGAAAACAAAGAAAAATTTCCAGTATGAAACAGAAGATGCACCCAATACCCATATTGTAAGGTAAAAAAGTGATATGCGGCTAGCCAAGAATTTTTCAATTTATGAAGAAATCAATAGCTAGAGCAAACAATAGATCAGGCTAACTAGCCAAGATAAAACAGATCATGTTCTAGCATAAATTGTATAAACGTATTTTACATCAGAATTGTATTCGTAATGGGCCAAGAGATAGGGGAATTTATATATTTAACAAAGTTATGAAAACAATTTTGTAGGAAATTAAATTCTCTATCATTTTGCTTCTTCAAGAATTTGTTGTATAGTAAGCAGCTTACGCAAAATTTAACGGTAAAGGTATTATAAATTTCCGCTTATAATTGCTTAACTAAAAGTCTGAAATTTGCTACAAGGCTTTTTTTATATTTTTTGACACTTGAAGGTTAAAGAGGAAGAAGTTAAGAATTCGCTTCAAAACAGTCGCGCGGCATACTCCGCACGCTACGTACGTTTTCCACTTCATCCACATACAACATTATTTTACAAGGAGATAACCCCATAGTCATTATCTACAACCAAGAGTACCATTATAAAGTTAATCCATTTTTTTGGCTACCACGTATAAGTACGGAAAATGGAATACTCTGATGATTTGTGCTGTTTTCATTACAAAGATCAAAACACTCTCTTCCCTTAGTGTATCTATTGACAATTTTGTCACTGCGTGGTTTCAGTTACCGTAACAGCGATCTTAATGGAAGAGATGTGGTAGCCAATCCCGGTTAATAGCATCACTTCCTTTCCATCAATAGCATTGCAATTGTTGCTTAAGATACGCAGCGGCAAAATAGCCAATAGACAGATGGAAGTAAGTGACTTGCATTTTCATGAAGACAGAAATTATCCTAAAAATAAAACATTCTTCATACTTAAGCGTGACAATAAAAAAATGGATTCACTTTAAAATAGTATTATTATATATAGTAACATGTTGTGAGCGTAACGTGTGGATCTGCCGCGCGACGTTTTGTAAAACATTTTTTTTGTGTAGAAACTGCAATTCTCTACTAAAAAGAATAGTAGTTTTTATTCGGTTGTTAGTTCAGCGACTTCAGGTGATATTATTACATGCACCTTTATCCTTAAATTTCTCGTAACCTGCTGACTATACGGCACATTTTTATAGAAGCAACTTGTATCCATTACTTTTTCACATAGGATGGATGGTTTCCAATGTTTTCGATCAGACACGTTTATCAAAATGGCAGCAAATACTCCAGCCCAATCATGACGACAATTTGAACTTAGTTTTAGGAAGCAAAAACCTAATGATTCTACCAAAAAGAAAATTAAAGTTCCAAAAGTTTTAGGAAAAAATTACCAGGCCTATAAGGGTAAACGAAAAGATTTCTAGTGTCTAGTGATGCAAAAAATTTCGCTGGACATTAAGCGCCAAAGTTGGAAAAACCATTTTTTCGCGTATCTTAAATTTGCAGCAGAGTTGTAGTTGAATGGTAGTTATCACAAAGGATTTAAGTTTTGGCTATTATTTCATGTTTTCTGTTATGCACTTTTTGGAAAAAAGTAAATTCGGAAATTGGGGATTATCTTAATAAAGAATTAACTGTTGTCAACGAAGGCCAATATCTAGATGAAACCATCAAAAACTATGTACGTCTGGTATGTGCCTTGGAGTCGCCTACAAAATGGCACCAAATTTAAGTCCTGAAGTGCCCATTGGGATACCCTTAATCTGCATGCTGTATGGATGATTTCTATGAAACTTTGTCTTCCAGGCTCACTGAAGGAGGAACAGCAATGTGTCACCGATACTGGCCGGAAGAGGGTTCCGAGCTCTACCACATCTACGAGGTACATTTGGTCAGCGAGCACATCTGGTGCGACGACTACCTAGTCAGATCTTTCTATCTTAAGAACGTAAGGACTGGAGAAACCAGGACGGTTACTCAGTTCCATTTCTTATCTTGGCCAGAATCTGGAGTCCCATCTTCTACGAAGGCACTGCTCGAATTCAGGTTAGAGAATATTAATAATCTATTGAAAACATAGCAACCAAGGAAGGTGTAAAATAGAACATTACATGCTCTATGCGCCTCAGGATATAAAAGTGCTCGGCCAATAATGGCACACTTCTCCACCGAGGTATGTATAGAATTTGTTTCACTACTAACGATAGTATGATCAAACTGACTCCATTGGTACCACCACCAGAGTCAGCAATACAATAATTGTTTTCAAATGACATCATTTGGCGCAACAAAATTCATTCCATATAATTTTATGCCTACTTTCAAGTTAAGTTGATGTGGCAATGACAGTACTGCCAACGTATTTTACTAGCCACATGGCGGTAAAACACTTTGTTATACAATTACCTATATTCGATATATTTACCCTTTTATTATTCATTATTCATTCCAGTTCATAGCTAAGACAGGATAACGTATCTCGGGCCAGCTATCAATGAAATAAATAAATATACTCAACAACAATAATTTCAGATATAAACAGTCTCTTTAGTGGCTCGTAGTAATCAATCCCTACTTTAATTCATTTTTAATTAAATTAACCTTTGTTATTATTCCATATGGATCCGAGATATTTGTACAATTATTATTATACGAGCGTAATTATTGTGTAGCAATTGTGTCAGAGATGAAAAATTTCATCCCTTGTGTTGCACTGATGATCCTTAATGAAGACAAAACGAAGGCGTCTACTCCGTGCTGATGAGTTGAGGTACAGAAAGTACCTAGTACCACCATTATTATACATTTTAAGCTAAATAATTCATAACCTCTGAATAATATGCTTATTACGAATATTTTTTTAGACGGAAAGTGAACAAGTCGTACCGCGGCCGTTCCTGTCCGATAGTGGTGCACTGCAGTGACGGTGCGGGTCGTACCGGTACGTACTGTCTGATCGACATGGTGTTGGGCCGCATGGCAAAGGGTGCCAAGGAAATTGATATCGCAGCCACCTTGGAACATCTGAGAGACCAACGAGTCAAAATGGTTGCCACCAAACAGCAGTTTGAGTTTGTACTTACAGCGGTCGCAGAAGAGGTTAGTATAAACATTTCACTTCCTATGCCAAATATCTTCAATCGAGCACAATGAAAACGGACATAACCCTATCGTGAAAGAGGCTGGATTGCCCGTTATCTTCTGGTGTTAATCGCTAGCGCATCCTCGAAGATGGTACCAGGGCAGCGCGGCAACTATGAGGAGCTCAAAGAAACTTTGTTCATCTGGTTTTTGAACAGCCTAAGATTAGTAGAACTAGGAAAAGCCTCCACAAGTAGATTGTTCTACAATGTCGATACCCTAGCTACAAAGGAGCGGTCGTATCGGCCAGTTCTGGATGTACGAACTTCGACACAGTTAGGATGTGAGTCGATATTTCTGGTTGCTGGCCAAGCAGATTGGAAGGGACTTCTCACAGAGTAGCCTTCCACCAATTACATGTCAGGATGGAACGATTGTAACAGACAAGGCTAAGGCGAAAGTGCTTGCCAAGACCATTGCTGTCAACTTCACCATGGACGTTCCCCCAAACGCCCGCTCCTTTGTCCTTAAGTTATCGAGATTGTAGAACAATATACATGAAGATGCAGTTCAAATATCCGATTAACAAGGTTCATTTAACTTCTACACAGCAGCTGCGGTGCCTTGGCATTTAGGCTTCTACCTGCGCGGTTGCTTCGGTGTAAAAAAATATTATCGGCTATTATTTACGAGAAAATGTTTTAACATTTAATAAAAATTAAATTATCGTGTATGGAACAGCTGGAAGTTGTAAAATATAAATTACCCAGTTATATGTTTAATTCAATAGAGAAGAGATGTTACTCCGGCAAGTTTTTTTACGCCTATTTCAATATTCCAGTTGATACAACGACTAAATTCAGACTTTTTTGGAACACCTTCCTCCAAAACCTTAAAAATGAGATGAAAAAAGTGCTACTGCAGCTACATAGATTTGAGTTCATAAATTATACTTAATAGTGGTTGCTATACAAGTACTTTCGTCCACTAACGCACTGACTATGTCATGTTATACGAGTATATAGCGTTTAGTTTTTTTTTTTGTAAATGCAAACCACCCCATCCAGTTGATTTTAAATAAATGTTCGTCAAACTAACTTTTTAGGGGGAGGTTAAAGATGGCTGTGCCAATCCTCTTGTTTAATGGATTGTTGTACATTTTATACTTGTTATGTATTTACATTACGATAACGGTTATTACTTTTATAATGTTATGCCAAAAATTAAAGTAAATCAACATTATGTCAATAAAATGTTTCTTCGATTCTGGCGTAAATGCAACCACATCAAATGAACAAATGGACAAATTAAGAACCGCTAGGTGTCGCTGAGACATTTTCAGGGCATTGAGAGCATTGAAACTGATGTTCCTAGTCCTTGAAAATTTCCACTGAAAATTGCAATTCTTGCGAATATACGTACTATAAGTAAATAGGCTCTATAACGCGCTGTAAGAAATGAACGCAAACTATTCATTAAATAAATTAAAAACTCTCAATCTTAAAGTAAATTCTTTGTTAATACTTTCTTATAAGCAAAACAGAATTAAATATTTACCCTGATACAGATAAAAAGCATACCGAAAAATTCCCAGAATCTATGACGGCTTAACACATTTTCATTAAAACACCGATTTGGCAATCTACAAATCAAACCCCTTCATTAATACCCCCATTCAGGCATGTTCGTTTACTGTGGGTTGTTCCCCTCCTCGTTCACCCTCCACTGATTTTAAACAGATAGCTGAGAATCATTTTGATAGACAATACTTTCGATAAAATAAATCGGACTCAATCAGTTCATCCTTTGGAGAGCAACGAACCCACAGACACACAAATACATACACAAACAGATACACAAACAGATACATACATTAAAATTATAGTACCCTTGTTTTTCTGTCGGTGTTAATTAAAATGGTTTGAAGTAAAATGAGCTGAGGGCATGTGTAAATGTAAGATACGATAGCTTCACAAATTTAGTGAATTAACGTACATACGTATATCATTTACAAATAATAATAATTACTTATCCGCAAGGTTATATGTAGACAGAATCCATTTCCACAAATATTGGGAGGGATACATCCGGGTGGACAGTTCCTTAAAAATAATTAATTGAATGAGTTGCCAGATTGTTGAAAAAAATACGTGCGGGTTCAAGTGTCATTACTATACAGAGATAGGCAAAAGGTAGATCTACAGCATACCAAAAAATTACCCTAATAAGAGTTTCACTGTTTTTGAGATATTAATTTTTTAGTCTTTTTCGGAAAATTTCCTCGTTTGATCTATCCTTTGTTGCTGATTAATCATATAATTTATCGCAGTACTTTGCAATAGCAGTCTAGTACATTTTTATTTCATTGCTGAATACCAAAGTTGAGTAAAATAGTTTTCTTACACTTAATAGTTTTTTATCAGATATTCACTTGAGAATTATCGCTGAAATGTTTTTAACCTATTCCATTGTAAGTGTATGACCTTTCATTCTGTTTAAAAACGTACTTCAAGATGGCGCCCAGCCATCAGATGTGTCAGGGTATCTTATTGCATCTTGGATATTTTTTGGACGCTGGATTTCAGCATTAGGTTGGCTATCTCCGATAGGATACGTTAATCAAGGCTTTAAGTGAGACCGGCCCGTTAAAGTATTTTTCCTGAACATTAAGCTAGTGTTTGAAAGGATTCAACACAAAATATATGGAAAATGGTTCCCAGTAGATTTGTCTAATAATTGAGTATGATTTATTCCTTGCTTTCCCGAACAAAAGTTCTTATAGGACCAAAGCAATCTTATGATTAGTGTTCGAGAAATAGGAGGAGGAAGTGTGCCCGATTGGCAAAAATGTGTTGACTGTAGGTTTTAGACCAAATACTCGATTTTCATACTGAAGGAACTATTTAAAAAAATACTGGAGGGGTGTTGATCTTAGTCATTAGCTTATTATTATACTTTGGCACGAACTAAAAAAAAAATCATTCATGGAGACAGTTTGGTTCACAAAGGTACGGGAAAGTCGTGGTTCTTTAGTTCTCTTTGATTATAACCTTTACAACACAAGGTCGCTTCAATGTCATGTTGATTTATATATTCGTTTCTCTCGACCCAAAATTAGTGAGATTTTACTACTTAGAAGTAGTATTTTTTTTTCATGGCCAGTGTTATTGCATAATCGTCAGGTAAATCATCGTTATTTTCATAAGCCTATTTGTAAGATATCCTTAGTTGATACTTTATTGAATAAAATAAATTCCTTGTGTGAATACCTTCTTGCACCGTTGCACCACACGTACATAAATAATAATAATAATTGGTTGATGGTATCTATCAATAAGAAAACCAGCTATTTTATAAAAGTGTACTAGATTCGGTACATGCTGCATTTGAATGGTTATTTGGAGGATTTTAATATTTATATGCGCATGCATGATTTTTGTAAATAGACAAACTTCACCCACCTGTTTCTCAGAAACTCACATGATTCCACAATAGTTCCATACGAACTATTGTTCAGGAAGGTCAGAAATATATCGTACTGAGTTTTTAGACAAATCAACTGAGACGCATCTCCTGTATGTCTTGTGCAGGGTCCTTTGACTTCCCGTATATCTAGTTGTCTACGTATTTGTTGCAGGTGCATGCTATATTAAAGGCACTCCCTCCTCAAGCAAATTCCGCCACGACTCAAGAAAAAGAAAAATGAACGATGGACCTCCAGCTCCAAACAGACAAAAGTTAACTTCCAATCTGGGAAATAGATTTTCTTTCGTTACTCTTTGGCTTTGTAGGTAAAGCCATAAGAGTTATTTGTGTCACCTGAAACCTTTTAGTTCCAGAAACAAGTCTAGTCAATATAAAATAAGGATAACCCTAAGAACAATACATTGAGCAAAAGTACAAATTAGCAAATTTTCACAAATCTTTTGTCTGTCTGGATTTTTCAACAAGCATTCGAAGGTTAGACCTAATGCCGTCCAGCCCTATTAGGTCTAATTTTCCCGGTTTTAAAAACAGTGTGTATTTTATGTACCTTCAGTATGTTATCTTTCCGACATATCCGTTGATCAAGGTTTCCTGGATCGAAGTACTTAAATATCTATAAAGCAAGCTAAACTTGCTCGGTTTTGCTTTACAACCATGCATACAGGGTGTTCCAAATTTATGTGTTAAATGAGTGATGCTGAACTTGCAAGAACAAAAATATAAAAAGCCATACAACAAATGTATTGTATCTATTGTTTTCAAAGGATATGAATATTGGAACCTTCATATCAAGGCTTATTGTCTGTGCATTTTATGGAAAGTATAGTTGTTTCTAAATTGTCTCTTCTCAGTGTAAGATACCATCCTAAATAGCTTGAAGTTTCCTCAGTAGAGATCTCTATGAAGTGTGAGCAGGAAAATAAACTTTTGCACTGATGTATCCCGGATCTTTGAAAACTCCATCCAGTACATTCATTTTAACATCTCTGGTTGTGAATAAAAAACATAGTAGTGGGCTCTATATCTAAACCTTTGTATGTATACGGTGCTTTTCAAAAAGGTTCCTACCCCCTTACTTCTTCTTTGATCGCGACTACTTTCAAAGCTAGAATGCGGAGAAATGGATGTATTTTTTTTATATACTCCAACTACCACGAAGGCCTAAGGCCTAAACACCCATTGGGTACCGTGGGGCTATAGGGGGATACAGGGGAAAGGGGGAACGCCACACGGACTCTGGCGAGGGAACACGTGTGCATGCAACATGCACACATTCTGGCTCCGCCTACGAGATCCGCCGGGTGGTACCTCCAGGTTCGACAGTCAGAGACCGTCTACCACCTACGGACAATGACAACATCCATAGCCAAGAGAAAAATTTATCCTGGGACGGGACTCGAACCCGCACAGCGCACGGCGACTGATCAGGAGACCGAAGAGTCTACTACTGCGGCCACCGCTGCTGCCTGTATAAGTGATACATGAATACTCTGTTTTGGCATAACAGTGGCGAATGGGTACCATTTTTGAATAATTTTGTGATACCTCATTTTGAAGCTCCTTATGAGTACTTTATAGCCTTAGAATATAAAATGACTATCTCTCAAAATAACAGGCTGTCAAAGTCAAGCGTTTTTGACATGTAGTCACTTATAACTAATTATGGTATATTCCACTAAACACAATTGTCAAATATCGGTCTATTTTTTAACGGCATGCCATATTTCATTGCAGATTCGGATCGACCCTTCCATAAGGAGTAACCTGATTAAACACACACTATAACATTTTGATAGAGAGTGATTCTATATTCTAGGGTTATAAGGTACTCATAAGGTATCACACCCTCCATTTCATTAAGAAATATTACAAGATGACACCCACGCTTGCAATTTTCAACTGTTATTTTTACGTTACAATATAGTATTAATGCGTTAATTCAATCATCCCGAATTTCAGCTCCCTAACTTGACCCTTCGAAAAATAAGTGGCAGGGGGGACCTTTCTTAAACGCACTATATATTATGATACTGCTTATTCAATATTATTGGGGACTTTAGGACCTTTCTCAGATCCAGATCTCAGACCTGCTCGGTGTCGAAAAGGAGCTTCTTAGGTGTGATGATCAATTTTGGAACCCTCTGTATGTGAAAAATTCAGGTATGAGTGTACGATATACCTCCGTTGAGATTCTCAAAGATTATATTTGACTGTTGTTTGGTTCGAGAGTATATTTCTGTATTAAGCCTAAGTTGAGATATTTAATGTATTTTTATTGTATTTTTGTAATAGGCGTTTGGTCAAAAATTTTGAACTCCAGCCTCTCAAAAATTTCGAAGTATAACGCCTTCTTCGTGTTACGCTTAAAGTTAAATATATATTGTATTTTCCAGACTGAAGAAATGCAAACTATGTATAAATTATATGAGAAACGGGAATCGGATATCACTTACAGGTGATTTCCGTTTCTCTAGACCCTCCCTGATCAAGTAACACTTATAAGAAGAGGTATAATTACAAATATTCTAATCTATATATTTACCAACAACTATATTTTGTCAAATTATAAAATGTTAAAAAAATGTAAGATAATCCATGTACTGATTCTATCTGAATTAGATTAGTGTATTAATGTATTTCAGTGTATGCATACAGCACACTAGTTGTTATTTTTTGTGTTTCTTCTCCTTACGCGCCTGATCCTTCATTCCTATGCTTAGAACAAAATGGCGTCAAGTAAGTTGACTCTGTACTTCCCACGCCAAGCTGTCGTCAGTTCGTAAAGGATTATGTTCGGAACAAGTTGCCTACAAGCACGTATAACAAAAAATTAAATAACTCTCCCCCTTCATCAAAGAGAAATTCCTGTGGGCTCACATGATCGTTGCTATGACTAATGACGATATTGACTTTTACAGTCTACAATATTACGGAAGCGACTGCGAACTGCGATGCAGATCGCGACTGTTGGAGACATTCCTAGATATTTATTAGTGTTAGTGGTAAATGTACGGGGATGAGCGAAATAGGGGCACGATGTATATTTTGAGATGCGCATCAACTATACTAGTTAAAACCGGCAAGAGTGCACTATTAGAAAGAGCAGTCCTTTATTAGTAAGTCGCCGCATTCAATTTATTTGCAAGCGTCTTACAGTGCACGTGGTGTAAACAAATTTAAGACGAAACATGGAGTAGTCTCGAGAGAGTTATCGCGCTATGATTTACCATGAGCTTATAGTCGGTTCAAATGAATAGAACGGTTACAACAGGCATTTGCAAATGAAGCTCCATCCCGGGCAAGTGTGTTTCGCTGGTATGCCGAATTTAAAAGAAGGCGTATTTCATTGACTGATTAAGAACGTAGTGGTAGGCCATGTTCTAGTATGACTCCAGAAAACATTGCTAAAGTTCAGTAGCTAATTGGAGAAGATTATTGCTACACATATGCGACTATAGAGGCAACTCTTGCAGTAGGATCCGCAACAGTGCACACCATTTTGCATGATCATCTTCATTCAAAAAAAGTTGTCGTAGAGGTACAATCCTGCATCACGATAATGCCTCTAGCCACACTGCCCAACTAACTGTAGACTCTTTACGCCAACTTCAAAATGCTGCCTTATTCGCTAGATTTGGCAATGTGTGACTTCTAGCTCTTCACGAATTTGAAAAAAAATCTGCGTGGTAGAAAATTTTCGTCTGAAGAAGAAATCGATCAAGCACTTAATCAGTTTGTTGAAGGCATTCCAAAAACTAACTGGTTAGAAGCATTTCATTTGTGGAAGGTTAGGTTACAGAAGTGCATTGATGCTGGAGGAGAATACTTTAAACATAAATAAACTAGTTATCGAAAAATAGTTTTTAGTTTTCGTGTATCTCAAAATATATAGCGTGACCCTCGTATGCCTAATAGGTTCGTAGAATTACTGGATTATAGTATAAGTACAAACGTATCAACTTCAAAAAATTGAGGTATGCCCTCCCCAACCCCCTGTAACCTCTAACCCGCAATGTTTAACTCCTACATTTTTTTCCGAAAACGACCAGGAGCCTTTGAAACGTCAAGAAGTTTGAGCTAGTTTCACTTTTTCTTTTTTAGCCTCTCGCTTCGCTGCCCGATTTTCGAAAATTGCAAAGTTTTTTCGTTCTTGATTTAGTTGATCTTGTGTGAAAATTCCATCCGAATCCGAACGGCACTTTCCAGGGTGTAGACAGGCCTAACATTAGCGGACAGACAGAGCGACAGAGAGATCGTCAGACCGACGGAAATGAGTGGCATGTGTTTTGTAATGAACATATCATAAAACACATAATATCTCGCTTTCGAAATTTTTCGTGATTGCAATACTTCCAAGCAGATGATATAAGTATGAAAAAAAGTGATATCAGATTATCGGTCCCTACGTACGATAGCAGGAAACTACACTTTCCCCTTCACCTCTGATTAAAAGAGTCCGAAGAAACCGAACAAGGTCGTCCACTACATCAGCATACCATAGTTACTAGGGGAGTACTAATTACTTACCATGCTAATAGCAGTGACGTATTAGTCTAATCATATCAGACCCCTGGTTTACGAAATAATTGTAAAGTCTGGCAAACTGCAGGTTTTGGCACCTGGTGGTAATGCGACGATGGTTTCTCGTAGATATTTGAAATTCTTCAAATTGTAGGATTCGTACTTTTAAGCAAAATTGGAGTACATTGGTCAATTAGTTTTTGAGAATTTCTAATTGTTTATCCCAAAACACCTGTTTTCCGGCCATCACTACTAGGTTATTGAGTAATATACAGGGTTAGTTCAAAGGGCATTTTATAGGAAAATACACTAGTTGACCATACCGATATGAATCGCGAACCATTCCGGAAAATAAATGTTACTTTTATGTAAAAAGGGATGGCTTATGTTTTTTCTTCTAAACAAATTCAAACATTTGTGAGTAATTCGCAACAAAAGATGATTGATACATCCGCTTTGTTTTAAGATGTGTATAGTAACGAATGTTTTTCGAACATCGCAGCGCATTTGTTCACTTACTCACAAATTGGAAATGTTTGAATTTGTTTAGAAGAAAAAACCTAACCTTTGTTTTTCGCATAAAAATAACATTTATCTTTCAGAAAGGTTTTTGATTCATATCGGCAAGGTAAGCACGTGTATTTTGCTATTAAATTCCCTTTGAACTAACCCTGTATATTCCTCAATAAACTAGTAGTGATGACCGGAAAACAGGTGTTTTGGGATAAACAATTAGAAATTTTCACAAAACTACTTGACTAATATATTCCAATTTTGTTGTTGTTATTCAGAAGTATAAATCCTAGGTATTTGAAGAATTTCAAATATCTGCAAGAAACCATTGTCGCATTACCAAAACCTGCAGTTCGCCTCGGTTTTCGGCCATAACTTTTAGTCAGATCTTTTTACGAGTGGTCTTATTTTGTAGGTCTCATAAATACCTAAAAATCTTATATGAAGAGTTTTTCCGTACCTGCTAACACTTTCGGTTGAATCCCAAAAAACACGTTTTCTCATTCTTTGTTGTCGAATAGTTTTCCCACAAAAATTGGTGTACCCATTTTATGCGTCCCTGTTTTAAATACCCCATTGAATAACGTGCACCAATAAAGCAGACTTAACAATTATTTCGGGAAAATTTACTAATATGATTATACTATATGCAAAAGTTGCTGCTTCCAAATGACTCGACCTATACCGTACTTATGATTGCTGAAAAGCATGGAACAACGTTGTGTATGGTTGGTTATGGTCGTAGAGACGGAAAGCAAACAGGTTCTGTTCAGCCTAAATCTACTATATTTTCGAATTACTGAACTCGTTTTCGGGGCTATACTGAACACAACAAAATTGAAGCTTTGGAGCTACTCTTTAAGCGCCATTATTGATATTCGGAACTTGAGAAATGAATATTCTAATTGTCCGAATGTTTTAGACCCCTAATAATGGTATTTTGACTACGTCGAAATATCGACAGCTTTGAGAACGTATTTAAACGACTACGGATATTCATAATTTTTTGTGTTTCGCTCATACCTATGCTGCCACAGCAGTGATTTCCGGAATTAATTACACAAGTGCATCAAAATTACCGATAATTTTTCATGAAAGCGTGCTTAGTTGTCTAAAACCTGCATGAGTTTATTTTCATATTTTTAATAAAATATGAAAATAACGAATGCAGTTTTTTACTGAACAACATGCTTGAATGGAAAATTATCAGGTTTATTTTGATGCACGAGTATCATTCGGTAAAAATGCCACAACAGGCGTAGAATTATCACAAAACTACAACGAAAATTGCCCAGTAGGTATCGAAAATTTCGCTATAGGTCCATATCTACAGTTGCGATTGATGACATGTGCATTTGTCATCTTGACATGCATAAACATCGAATTTTGAAAGACGTTGTAGTATCATTTTTCGGTAATGATTCTTTGAGGTTAATTCAAAGACAAGTGATCAAAAGTAAACCTAAAAATACAATAATAAACCATCAGTATATATGGATTTCGAACTTAACACATACTTTCACTCTTTCAACTCGGGAAATATTCTACCGAATTACACTCGTGCATCAGAATAAACCTGATAATTTTCGATTCAAGCGTTGTCAGTAAAAACCGCATTCGGTTTGTTTTCATATTTTGGCGAAAGAGCCCGACTTCAAAGGAAAATAATCGGTAATTTTGATGCACCTTGTGTAATTACTTCCGCATATTTCCCGAGTTTTCCACTTGGCACTGGGCAATATTCACTGACTATTTTTCTCGTCTTGATTTCTACCAATCACAAACTCACAAATGGTTTACCCCGTAAACTTGACAGCTGTTTCACCAAAAATTACAATACAGTAAGTAATTATGGTCTCTTAGGACACCAAAAAACGACGCTGAACATTTTTTCTTTATTGCCAATAAATTTTGTAAGCTATGGTATGCAGAATAATCTGTTACGCATGAAATAGTCTTGTCAAATAGCATTGGGGCATCTAATTTTTTCGTGTGTAAAAAATCGAAAAAATAATGCAAACTAATATTTTTTTAACAAAAAACAAAACGTGCAGGTGCAAAAGTCCTTGTCTTAGACTCGGATTTTTGTTGCCACCAGCACTGATGTTTCTTGTTAAAATATTACTTAGCAAAGCGTTTTTTCAATTTGTTCGGAAAAATTAGATATTACTTATGAAAATTTCCCGTTGTCTAGGTAACGGGAAGTTTTCGCTGTAACTTTGCGGTAATTCCATACTTCTTATGGCATTTTTTATAAATGAGGCAAATATTCAGAAATACAGCATTACATTGTACAGCGATAACTAAAAACGTCAACAAATAAACAGACCGATACACAGACTATCTATGCGAAAACCTATGAAAAATAGAAATGGAATCAGAACTTTGCTTTCACTACCCTTACCATAGCAGACTATTAAATTTAACTTAAAGTTAATAGTGTATCACTCGAACTTATTTTTAAACGGCAAAATTGGAGCTTTTGCCCTTCTGTCATTATTGTTGTTTTCATGTACACCGTAAATTGAACGGATTATCATTTTTAGCGTCACTTCTTTAGATTAGTATTATTCTGATTCAGGCTTAGTGAACAGAAAAACCTAAGTGACAGGTAGCTGGGTACA